TGTGCTTGTCCACTGTCATGTCGCCAAAGCGGCTTGCTTTGTCGACAGAACTGGATGTCGTCTAGACACTCCTTGTCGACAGAAGCTTTGTCGACAGTATCTGTCAACAAAGCCTCTGTTGACAAAAGCCTGTAGTCTAGACATACCCTTATAGACTAACAGATGTGTTGGAGCATAAGCTTTCGTGGGCAAAGACCCACTTGGTCAGATGCATGTAGTGGAAATTCCAGAGGCAGGTATAAATATACAGGCATAAGGAAAGAGAACCATCAAGAGTAAGGCTGGAGATAACCAGGTCAATTCAGTCGGGGAGGGTGAGGCCCACTTCTAGCAGCTGATGTGGAGGTGTGAACACTAAGAGAGGAGAAACTGATTTTGTAGTTGGCTAGCCATTCACAGTCTTTGTTTAATCCTAAACTGATGGCGTCAAACTTGCAGATGAACTGTAGCTCTGCAGCTTCTCTTTGAAGTCTGGTCTTGAAGTTTCTTGCTGCAGGAAGGATACTTTTAAATCCGCAACTGTGTGTTCAGGGAGATTATGTGTTCTCCTACAGGTTTTTGTATGTTCCCATTCCTGATATCTGATGTGTGTTCATTTACTCTTTTATGTAGGGACTGTCAGCTGCTAGAAGTGGTCCTCATCCTCCCTGATTGAATTGACCTCGTTATCTCCAGCCTTACTCTTGATTGGTTCTCTTTTCTTATGCCTGTATATTTATACCTGCCTCTGGAATTTCCACTACATGCATCTGACCAAGTGGGTCTTTGCCCACGAAAGCTTATGCTCCAATGAATCTGTTAGTCTATAAGGTGCCACAGGACTCCTTGTCGCTTTTGCAAAACTGGTTAACGGTCTAGAGAACATGAGCTATGAGGGAAGGCTGAAAGAACTGGGCTTGTTTAGCCTGGCCAAGAGAAGACTGAGAGGGGACATGACAGCAGCTTTCAAATGCCCAAAAGGATGTTACAAGAAGGAGGGAGAAAAATTGTTCTCCTTGGCCCCTGAGGACAGGACAAGAAGCAATGGACTAAAATGGCAGCGAGGGAGGTTTAGATTGGACATTAGGAAAAACTTCCTAACTGTCAGGGTGGTTAAACACTGGAATAAATTGCCGAGGGGGGTTGAGAAATCGCCATCTCCGGAGATATTTAAGAGCAGGTTGGACAGACGCCTGTCAGGGATGATCGAGATGGTGCTTGGTCCTGCCGTGAGGGTCGGAGACTGGACTCAATGACCTCTCGAGGTTCCTTCCAGTTCTAGCATTCCAGGTTCTACCACGACTGGACGGCTGCAGGAATGATGGCCCAGCAGGTCGGGCTGCTAGTTTGGGACTTGGGAGTCCTGGGCTCCTCGAAGGTAAACAGGTGCCTCAGTTTCCCGCAGAGAACAGCCCTGCTCAGCCCCACAGGGGTGTCTGAGGAACGGGAGGTGCCTGGACAGTGCGGCGATAGAGGTCAGATACATGGATGCTGTCCGCAGATAAGGAACGGCCTGGCTGGCAGGGCTGGTAAGATGGCCACGCAGTGAGGTACAGGTCAGGCACAAAGCGGGGAGGGGCGGCTAACTCTTACTGCCTCGTGCGCTGTGGCATGGATTTAACGGGCTGCCTTATGATCGGGGAGAGCGTATCTGGCGGCAGGAGGATCCAGCCCCCTCCCACAGGCCCCGCCCACCGCAGCGACAGCATGCCCCGCCCTGCCAGGAACCCCCGCAGCCCCGGCAAGCCCCTCCGAGCCCGCTGGCCGCACAGCCCTCACCTTGGGACAGCTCCTCCGGCTCCCCCTGCAGAATGTGCCTGGGAAGCAGCCGCCCAGGAGAGGAGAACAACGAGGGACTCAAACCCAGATCCTGACTGGCCCAGCAGGCTCCGATCCGGCCTCCGCTCCTGGGAGAGCACAGGCGCGAGCTCCCTGCGAACCAAGACAGCATTGGCACGGGAATTTCACCAGGTCCATCTCGGCCGCTCCTTCCCTCTCGCAGTGGGGGAGCTGGCACTACCCTGCCTGGGCAATGCACGTGATGTCTGCCTGGCCCAACGTGTGGATTTCCGGCCTGTCTCTAGTCTGGTGCACCAAAGCGCGCCGGCAGGGCCCGAGAGTCAGGAATTGTTTTGCATGACAATGCTCATTAAGCCTGGGACGCGAGACCACGTCAAGAACACAGGCCAAGCGGCCTTGTACTGGCACTTGTTTCTGATCAGCAAAAATATAGATGCAGCCATGAAACTGTCAGCTGTGCCCTAGCAGCACCGGATGTATCCCCAATAGGGGCGCTGGGCATGGACGTATCCTGCACAATACGTAATCTATTGGTAAATAGTACTAGAACGACCAAGTCTCGCTTTGCTATAAATTGGGCTTAGTAAGAACAATCGATGGGAGGGAATGGGCAGGATTTCACCCTTCACACCGGCAGCCCAGTGCGTGGCGTTCCTAGGCGTGGGAAGAAACAGAACCACGACCTCCTGCCAGGCACTGTAGGCAGCATACAGTTGAAATGTAAGGGCACGTCTACACTAGCTCGTTAGTTCGAGCTAGGTAGGGTAATTAGGGCAAGCGGAGTTGCAAATGAAACCCGGGATTTAAATATCCCGGGCTTCATTTGCATGTTCCCGGGAGCCGCCATTTTTAAATCCCCCGTAGTCCGAACTCCATGCCCACGGCTACACGAGGAGTAACGGTAGTTCGAATTAGGATCTTTAATTCGAACTACCTACTCCGTGTAGCCGCGGGCATGGAGTCCGAACTACCGGGGATTTAAAAATGGCGGCGCCAGGCAAGATGCAAATGAAGCCCGGAATACTTAAATCCTGGGCTTCATTTGCAACTTCGATTGACTACATTAACCACCCTACTTTGAACTAGGATGGTAGTGTAGACATACCCTATCTGAGGCTATGTCTATTTTGCAGGCTTCTTTAAGAAGAAGCTTTTCCAGAAGAGATCATCCAAAAAAAATTCTTCCAAAAGAGAGCAAAACTCCGCTTGCCCTAATTACCCTACCTAGCTCGAACTAACGAGCTAGTGTAGACATACCCTAAGTGAATTAGGCTTTATCATTGTATACAGTAGATCTTTTAGTAATTGCTTTTGCATTGCTTTGCGCTGTATTAATTGCTTTAGGAAGTAGCGTAGGTAAGGTTTACATTGTCTAGTCATTGTTCTTAAGGCTTGTCAAACTGAAACACCTGCATTAACTGCGTAAAGCTTGCAATAAATAAGAACGCGGTTAAGTAGCCCTGGCGTGTCCTGATGTCCCTTGGATCTAAAATAAATCGAACCCCACGACAGTCACCCGTCAGCGACTTCACAGCAGCATAGCGGGAGAGAGAATAACTTGGATCCCTACAATGCGGATTTATTATTTAAAGGACATTTGGAAACTTCTTCTACTGGTCAAATGAGGCCTAAATCTACGCCCTCCCCCAAACACACAGGGCCCTGATAATCAGAGGGTATGTTCTCACTTATTTAGCCTCTTTAATAACTGGTGCCCAACCTGGCCTCTGCGGGCTCAGGGTTTTTTTCGTTAGGTTTGGTCCCCTTCCCGTCAGGTTTTGCAAGTAACAGCCACTGAATGTTGTTACATGGCTGTCTCCTCCTTGGGCACACATTCCCACGCGTGTGGCTTCTCTGCGTGTCTGGTATGAAAGCAACACACATGAAGTTTAACACATGCCACTGATCTGGCCATGCGTCGACAGACAGCGTGACCTTGCGGGTCCGACAGTGCGGACGAGGGCCGGCTCTGGAGCCGGGACAGGCTGGTGCTCGGTACCCAACACCGCTCACGTGGCAGGTGCTACTGGCGCGACCGGAGGAGCAGCAACCCACTGAGCTGAGGGTCCTTAGCCATCTCCGCCCTCGACGGCCCGAGTCTATGGCAGTACTCACCACGTGAACTGCAAGCAGGGGACTGGGTCGAGAGCCAAGGGCCAGCATCCAGCCCCTCCTCCTCCTCCCCGCAGGAATGATACTGCCTGCCTGCAGGAGCGGTTTGGAGACGGCTGTAAGGGGGCAGCTCCGTTTCCCACACCCCCGGCTGAGCTGCTTACAGCCCGGCCCAGCTGGCCACAAGGGGCTGGACTGAACACATGCTGCTCTCTAAGGCATGACTGAACAGTGGGTGGGGCATAGGGGGGAACCAAAGCCACAGTGCCCCGGCAGCGTCCCGCCCAGGGAGGCGGGAACCAGGGACCTCCCCATTCTGGGCACTACCGCTGATCTTTGAGAGCCCCTGGCTGGGAACAGGCATGTCCTGGCTGTCTGCAGGCTATCGACGCGCCGGCAGGCACCCAACTGTACCTGAGACCCAGCCTTGCTTTCTGCCAGCCACAGCCGCAGGAGCCTTCTCCTTCGCCAACCACGCAGCGGGGCAAAAACTATGCGGACCACCAGCAGGAGGTGCTGTAGAGAGCATCAGGTATTCTGGTCCTAGCAGGGGGTGTTGTGGGGAGTGGGGCAGGAGCTGGCTATGGGGGTAGATCCCAGCCTCTCCCTCTCCCAGCAGGGGGCACTGTGGGGCACAGGGCAGAAGCCGGCTATAGGGACAGCTCGGGGCTGAAAACGCCGCACACTCTCTGGCTCGCTGCCTCCGGCCAGATCCCAAGCAGGTGCAAAAAGCCACCAGCGCCACAAGTCTGCGTGGCTGCTAGCCCAGGCCCTCTCCTCCTCTACCCGTGTGTCAAGCACCCCCACCGGCTCTTACCCCAGCCGTGCGAGGTCCGGCCCGTCGTACCGACGCTGCCCCCGGCAAAGGAGCCTTGCCTGGCAGGTGCAGCAGATGTCACCGTCCTCCGGGCTTGCCTCTCGGTCGCACCCCACGCACCAATCTGCCAACGCACACAAAAGCCGTGGTCCCACACCCGCACGTGCTGGGGGCCCCCGCAGAAGGGACGCCAGGTCCCTGGTTACGGACGCTCCGCCCGCGGCTTCGTATAGGGCCAGACGCCCAGCAGGAGGAAATCAGCGACCCTCTGGACGGAGTGCAGCAGCAACAGCAACTCACGCCAGCCAGGGATAAGTGAACGAGGGTCTGGATTTCACCCTCCCCGGAGCCCTGTGCAGCAGCGGGTGACGCTCCCCAAAGCCCCGTTCACCGTGAGCGTGGCAGGGGCCGGACGCTCCTTTCACCCGAGCGACAGGCGGGCCTCCGTCGGCTCCTGCCTCGCACCCCCCCCGCCAAGGGCAGAAGGGGGCCACACCTGCCGCGCAGCTGGGAACGCCGCCTTCGGCGCTGTCCGGGAAGGCGCTGCCGTGGGGCCGGTGAGACCCCAGAGCTGGGTCCCTGCCGCCCAACTGGGACGGAAGCTGCTTCACGCCAAGACAAAGCGCGTCCCCGTCCCCTGCCGCACGCCGATCCGCCTCCGTGCGCTGCCAGGGCGAGTCCCCCAGACTCAGGCTCCGACGGGGCTCCTTGCTCACCCCCCGCCGCTCTGTGAAGGCAAAGGGCACAGGACTCCAGGCGAGGCCACCTCTCCACTTACCCAGCCACCCGCCTAGGACACAGGGCCAGGGGAGCCCCGAGTGGCATCCCCCCACGGCTCAGGCAGGAGGGCCATTTCACCTGCCCCAGACACCCGGCAGCACCAAGCTCAACTTGTTAGCACCCCCCTTCCCCACCAGCTCCAAGCTAACACTGCGCTCGCGCAGCACCCCAGGGTGCCTAAACAGCAGCTCAGCGGGCGTCATGGATTACCAGGAGCAAGGGAAACACTAACAGGCCAACCGGAGAAAGACCACCGGAGAGATTAAGGGACATGCCCAAGGCCACAGAGCAAGTTAGTGGCAGAGCAGGAACCACACACCGAGAGTCCTGCCTTGCACTATGCTGCTCCAACCACTAGACCTCACTCCCCGTGTATGACACCTCGCAGCTGCAGTGCCGATGAGCCGCGAGCGCTACAGGGCCTTTCTTGGTGAAAAGGGCCGGGCCAGCTGGGACTCGGATGCTCTGCCTGGCCATAGGCAAGGGGCTGGGATATGCGATGGTTCTGCCCAGTGAATTTAGCGGGAAAGGCTGCCCCGACTTCCGTCCTGACCTGCTCTGTGGGATCGCCTTCCTTTGCGGGGCTTCTTCCCGGCGGCCCGGAGCCGGGCTCTCCTCCGCCGCGGGGTGCCGTGCGGCGTGCCTGGCTCCCTGGAGGCGCCCGCTCCCAATTCTGCAGGGCAAGGAGAGAGCAGAGCAGGTCACACCCTTCCCAGCAAGCCCTGGGGCTCGCAAGGACCCCCGGGGCGAAAGGGGAGAGAAAAAACGCAGCTGCTGAGACTCACCCTGGGTTCGTCTCCACGCCCGCCCGTGCAGCCGGCAGCTCTCCACCCACCTGGCCGACTGGCCCTTTTACAAGAAGCGGGTCCATCCTGCCTACCCCCGAGTTTCCCCTCCCTGAAAAACGACTTGCCCTCAAAATCAGACCTCAACGTCCACATGTGCCACAGGGCCGACAAAGTGCTGACATGCTCCTGTGCACCATACCCTAGCAAAGGGCCTGGGTAGGCACAGCGTCCTCACCTTTCAGCGGCGAATCTACAGAGCAGCTCGCGCAAGCCCCCGGGTACAACTGTAGTGGGTCACCCTGGGCCAATATGAAAAACGACTTGCCCTCAAAATCAGACCTCAACGTCCACATGTGCCACAGGGCCGACAAAGTGCTGACATGCTCCTGTGCACCATACCCTAGCAAAGGGCCTGGGTAGGCACAGCGTCCTCACCTTTCAGCGGCGAATCTACAGAGCAGCTCGCGCAAGCCCCCGGGTACAACTGTAGTGGGTCACCCTGGGCCAATATCTAGCAGCCCGGCTGTATGCCCGGCAGTACGGACCCCCCTTGTTGAGAGCCACTGGGCTGGCGCACTATTTTCAGCCGTTACTCCGGTACCTGAAGACTGCGGTTCCCAGCTGCCAGGCCGTGGACCGATGCCGGGCCGCGAACCGCTGGCTGCGGCCGGTCTCG